TTTTCCCCCATACTAAACTGAAATAAAATGTAAAAATCAGTTAACTTTTTTTTTCCAGTGACCCTAATCCTCTTCCGTAGAGTTTAGATTTTCCTTTATGCAAAAAATGTCTGTTTAAGATTACAGCACCACAAGGCACATAATTCCAGTCTGCTGTCATGTGTTTATGAACTTTCCTCATTTCCTTTATTTATTTAAGAACCCAATCTCAGCTCATCTTAGACTGTAAAATTTAGGATTAGTTCTATTTTATGTGCCTTGCCCATATGCAGTTTATGTCTATTAATAGTACTTGTGTGCAGTTTTTTTTTATGCAGTCTCCTTCCAGGGGAAGGAGCACTCTCGCCTGAAGCGAGAGTACATAATCGAGTATCGCGAGATTTGAACAGCTGTTTGGACTGTTTTTACAGACTAAGGCAGATCGGTTAACACGTGGGGAGATCAGGAGCGCGATTGAAAACATTCTGACAATTTTTGTTCCCATCGTGGCAGCATCGAGGACCTTAAAACACTGTAAGTAAAGAGGCAGCCATGTTTCCCAGCCGGCTGCACGGAGCAGTTTTAGCATGTCTCCTTGTTCGCTCTGTCCATTTGACATTGTTGTTGCACTGGAAGCGGAGAGCGCTAACTCCAGCGATAGTGTGAAGTTAACGTCGCAGGCTGCTCCAAGCCGACTCTGTAGGGGAATTGGAGCGGTGTGCTCATGTCATTGAACGGACAGCCTGTTCCCTCTGGCTGTCAGCGGGGCGCTTTAGCTGCGCTCCCGTTATGAAACTTAAAGAGCCGGACTTTGTCTGGTTAGCTCAGACCTATCCTAGCCACCGCGTGAATATGTTTCGATCCCAAGGTTAGCAGGTAGCCGCTAGACGCCGTGTGCTATCATGCTAGCTCTGGTGGCTAGCAGCAGGGCTGAGGCCTGCTCGGGGAAAGTCGTTAACCCGCGTGCAGCACGCACGTGCCCTCTGCTTAGTTGAACCTGTGGGCTGGGTCGTGTGGCTGCGATGGGAAGGTCAAACCGTCCGGGTTGAGTTGAGTGGATGTGGATTGCGTGTCACCTCTACTGATGTCATGTGTTGTGGGCAGAAGTGTGGCCTCCTCAGCTGTCACTTTGCTCCCTGTTCTCCTGGAGGAGACCCTCCACAGGAGGAGCACAGGCTGGAGGCCTGCCATGCACCAGGCGGCTTTATGTGCTCACATTCGGACCTGCTGACTTTTTTCTCCTTTCTATGAGTCCAGATCTTCCCTCAGTTATTTAATTCATTCAGTGTGAAGTTACTGGAGGGGATCATGTCGGAAATCTTTAGTGAGATGGTTTCTGGGAGAGTTAAGGACAGATAATATTGAATTATATTTCCAAACTTTTTCTGTTGCTTCTCATTGTGTCCTTGGTTTCTCTTTCCTTTCCACCCTTCCTTTAAAGTTTGGTTTCTTACCTCTAACCTTATGTTTCTCTCCTCATTCCCTTCATTTCTTTGTAGTGTCCTTGTGTCCCACCTCCCTCTAGTATCCTTCATATCTTTCCTATCTTGCTCCCTTCTTTGTGTTTCCCTTTTTTTTTTGCTTTTCCTTTTCCTCCAACCTGCTTTTTTTTTAGGTTTCTGATTTTGCAGGTGACCAGTATAACGCCGGGTCACAGGATCAGGCCAATAAAACCAGGTGTTGGTAATGTGAGGTCTATTTACTGTGAGTTCACAGTGAACTTCACTATTTTGTATTTGAAAGTGAAATGCCTCTAGGAAAGGAATACTTTGAAAGTGTTTTATATTAGAAAGGGTTAAAAACTAGAGATGACTCCATTCATGACTCCTGCAAAGTAATTTTTTAAAGCGATTTAAAAATGAACAAACCTGCTGAATCGTTTTTTGGTTTCCAACTGCAAGGTTTCTGTCCAGCTGCTCTTTAAGTTATTCTTTAGGTAAAAATGTGGGGGGTTTCCCCAAAAGTCTGTGTTATACCCCTATTTAAAACGTCATTCTACATAATGAGAGTCTGTGTTTTTGGGCAGCTTTCTGCAGGCCGCCCCCTCTTATCCTAAAGGTATAACTGCATCTCTGACTGTGTAGACAAAAGCAGTGTTTATATAATGAATGGTCTTAAAATGAAAGTGACATTTGTCATCCAGAAGAAGAACAAACGAGGGTTTCCAAAAAAGTTAAGAAAAGTCTTCAAACTTGGAAACAAAGTCTAGTGGATTGTTAACTTTTTTTTTTGAAGAACCATGACCTGGATGACTGAATATTCTTCATCAGCAAACAAGGGTTTCATTTTTATACCATCAACTGGTAATATGTTACAGACTGAATTACGAGTCTGGAAGCTGTAATTAGGTCATTTCCAACCTCCATAAGTTATTTTTTAAGATTTTATTGGAAAAAAACGGTATAAAGCTACAGTTTTAGTAGTTTATTAATCCCCGATATGAGAACTTTCTACTTCATATAAATGCTAAACTCATATTTGCTAAATAAACCCACCCCCTTTCCTTCAGGCCCTTCCTCTCTGATGTTGGTCCGGGTAGTGGTCTGAATTTCAGCGCAGCTGGGATGTACTTGAACGTAGCAGCCTGTCAGACAGCTGTCTATTACCGTAGTTGGTCTGATCCAGGTCAATGTTGATGTCTTCACCTCAGTGCTGGAGTTTCTGATAAAGCAAATCAGGAGGAATCATGTTTTAATATTCTGGAGAAATGAAACAGTGCTGTCAGTGTGAGAGCAGGTGCATGATAGCAGCTTTAACTCCACAGTGTTAAGCTGCGTGGGGCTCTGATAGTAGCCTGTCTGCCCATCAGGGAGGCTAACAGGAGTCTCTGTAGGAGGAGGGTGTTAAACTCCACTGAGTGGAATGGAGTTAGTGTCCTGAAACTTTTAAATGTATTTATCTCAACTGTCCTTTGATCCAGGTGTGTTAAACTGAGAGGGGCTTGACGAAACTGGCTAAGTTGGCCATGTGTGGCTTAAGCTGGATCATTTTAGCAGCTACAGCTGACACTGCACAGCAAAACCGCAGAGTTTAAAAGTTCCCAGCTCACGATGTTTGTTCTCACACTGTGCGACCCGACGCTCTGATGCGATCTACCTGCTCACACTGTTCGACTAAAAACCAGGTGGGACTCAGCTCCGCAGTGACATGGCGCTACTCGGACTCGTCTGTGAATCAAACGAGTAGAAGAGGAATAAAAAGTTCACTATCGTGAAACGTGCTGCCTTGGCAATTTGTTCAATTTTGTGTTGAAATCCCTAAAAAGTAAAACGCGACGCTGTATTTGGACAAAGATGTGGCTGAGCACAGGGCTACTACGGTCTGTCAGTTTTATAGAAAGAACTCCATTTCAATCATTGCACCCCCGCCATGCTGCTGTGTTTTCGTCTGAGAGGAAGAAGAAGAATCCTTGTTTGCCCGCTGAGCGATTTGCCCACGACCACCTTAAGACGGCCGACTGAATTTCAAACATGTTTAATTTTCTCCCGACCTTACGATACCTGATCGGAAGGTGGTCGTTAGAAGCTGATCGCTCCTCGTTACCCCCTGTACACGTACACCACGCACCATCAGGCTGAAAGTCGGCCTGATCGAAAAATTCTCGCACAACTCGAGAATCGTCCCGAAAAGAACAAAAAAAAAATGTACGGTTTATGTTTGGCTTTATTTGGCTTTCATAAAGCTGGCTGTCCGTTTCTGGCCAGGTTGCTATGGAAACAAACCCAGTACACTCGGTTAAATGACTCTTCGGACAGATCACCACTGTTTTTCGCTCCTGTTGGCCTAGTGGTGCCGCCGTCATCTTTCCTTTCTCTCGCCCCTAAAACAAATCCCATAATGCTTAGAGATAAGGGGCTCTTGCAAAGCATTCTGGGATATCTGTTCATCTAGTGACCATGGATGCACACTACTTGTGGACGGACATTGTGGGAAATTTTGAGTCCACGAGTTTTCATCCACTGCCCATTCAGACACTCGTGTAAAATGGGGTAGCCCCATATAGTGACCTACAGAGGGGATAGGGCGGACGTTCTGACACAGCCTGTCTTTGTTGATTTCCTCTCCAGGGGGCTGTAAATGACAGTATGAGCACCATCTAAGGGTGGACATTTATTGTGGAATTTATTGTGAACTATGTTTGTTCTTTAGCTCCAAACTCAGCATCTCTTCATCCATGCCTGCCACAAGAAGTTTCTTTAGAATTTTTGAGATTCGGTCTTAGAAGTCGTTGTGACTGGATTTGATTAAACTTTTACGCATCTTGGTATAAAATAATTTGATGGATATGAGAAATCTGCTTCTTGATACGTTGAAGTATCAGTAGCTTGCATCCAATCATGTAATTAAACTAAATTAAATCTTATTTTTTGGGAATATATAAGAATTATGCTCTAATTTGTACTTACCGATCTGTCGTTGCTATATTTTAATTTGACAAACTGGATCTTCTCTACGTTCTTTTTGCTGCTTGGTGCGATTGCGGATTTTGACCGGAGCGGAGTAAAGAAATAGCTCGGCTCGTATTTTGACGGTGATGGACGGAGAAGACTTACGTGGACGGCGGCGTGCGGAGGAGTAGCGGTGGATGTGGAACAGTTCTGATTGACTAACATGACAGACAAGTACTGCTCATGACGTACGTGGGCGGGGTGGTGACGAAGGATGTGGAATCTGGGGGTTACTTTTGATATCTAACAGGATGAAGAGTACATACAAAACAAGACTAAACACTTTAAAAGAGACCCAACTTTATCATTTATAATGGTGATTATGATTTATAACATTTTGAGCCAGCAGCCCAGTTGATCCATTTTAAAGAACAAACTGAGAAGGACAATATATTTCTCTTTATTGACCTGTTGCTCTGCAGTCAAAGTATTTTTTTTGTTTGCCTTTCCCTAGAGGCCCATGCACTCTGCTTTCCTCAGATAGAAAATATTCTAACCAGGCTGTCCCGATGTTTGCACTAAAAACAAATCTGAGATGCCTTCATAAGCTGTTTGATATAATAAGTTTACTTCTCTAAATGAAACCAAATCAATTCAGTCGTTGCTAACATAACTTTCTCTTGTTTCAGGTGAGTGTTTGGCGTCTTGAGGAAATGCCAGTGCGGTTCCGCTCTGTTGTTCCCTACACATTGCCTGGAGTACTTGTACTTATTGGCTGGTGGTGGTACACGTCGAGGAAGAAAGAACGGATCGACAGCCAGAGCTCAGAGGTCTCTCAAAGTCCTGTGAGCTTTAAAGACTCTCACGTAGAAGGCAGCAATGGCCTGCTGTATGAGGAGGAGAGCGCCGTCTTTCCAAACCTCAGCAACCAGAATAAAGAAAATGAAATTATTTCCCCCTTTCAACTGCAAGACGCTGAAGCAACATCTTCACAGGAACACAGAGGTAATGATGCTAGCTTAGCACCCGCAGAAGCTCATGCTCTGTCAAATTTAACTCCGCCAACATTTGGCAACAAGGATTTGGCAGAGACGCCCCATGAAGACCCGGACACTGATTCAGCCCCCGCTTTAATTGGGAAGCTAGAGAAATGCCCAGCCAAAGATTTAGACCTTCTTCCAGAAGCATCGGAGGAAGCTGCTTTGCCGTCCAACGCCGCACCCTCATCCTCATCCAAAGACACCAGATCCTCCACAAACACTATAGATGCAGAAAGGCCAGAGCCAGAAGGTGAGGTTGCTACCCATCACAGCACTGTAAATCCACAAGAGGAGATTGTTTGTATAGCTACGTCTACCAAAACACTGAGAGCGACGGCCTCAGATGAAGAGTCTTTGGAGAATCCCCTGCAAATACAGGATTTACACAATCACATCCTCACCAGCACCCCCAACATCCCCACCTCCAGAGCCCAGGCCACCACCACCTCATTAGCTAGCTCAGCTGAGATACAAGTAGAGAGAAACACTGAAGAAATGAATAATCTGGAGCTCCTGGCAGCCGGACTTATAACCGAGGTCCTCTCTGCAGCCACCCAGGAAGTGCTTGGCGCTACGAGCTGTGAGGTTACAGCAAACGAGGAACCCAGTAGTAGAAGCAGTGCTGCTCTGGCCAGTGGCACTCTATGCCCCCAGCTCAACTCCACAACAGGAGCCTCCCTTGATGATGGTCTCTCACATGGAGATGGAGAGCTCACCAAGGCAACAGAGAAAGAATCTGAAGGAGAGCTGAAAGTTTGCTCTCTGGTCGAAGAATGGGCAAATGTTGAGACCCGGATTCAGAAAACCAACAGTGCACAGAACGAGGCCTGGCCAACGGCGTTACGCCAAGGACATCCAGCGCTGCTCTCTAAATGTAGAAGTGAGGAGGCGGCGGCGCTGGCTGAAGACTCTGCCTGCAGCACATGCCACTCTGAGGAGGGAATCAGCAGCGAAGACCTGCAGGGCAGCACGCTAGAGAACCCAGCCGACGCGTTCAAGGTTCCGTCTGCGCAGGACGGCCGGCAGCCTCCGGCCGCAGCCGGGAGCGTCGCAAAGGAGACAGAAGAACCGCCTGATGCAGTGTGTGACATGAAGGGCGTAAATGGGGACGGCCTGAGGAACGGAGCACATGGGACATGCGAGTTGGATACAGATCAGTCTGGAGGTGAGGAAGGATTCTAATCATCCTGTTACTTTTGCTTTGTTGAACTTCTAAGGATTTAGTGGTTTGAAAACTAATGCTAGTTTAATGCTAGTGACTGTTTGCTTAACTTAAGAGGAGCCTTATAAAGGATCGAATGTTCAGAGGTGAACAATCAGGGTCCAGAAGATAGAAATACGCCCGTTAGCACGTGCTCCAGAGAACATGTGAAGAAAAAATGTATTCTTGTTAAATTGGGGGTCTTTGCCCCACCTTCTGCGCTGCAAAGGATTATGGGAGTCCTCATAGCTCCTTAGCATTAGATAAGAACCACTGATCTCTATTAGGGATGCACGATATTGGGATTTTGGCCGATATCCGATATGCCGATATTTTAAAACTCATGTAGCCGATAACCGATATCGATATGTTAAAGCTGGACAAAAATAAGTAGTCATTGAAAATAGCAGTTTTGTTATCCATTTCTGACACTTTGAAAAATAATATACTCAAATACGGTATCGATCTATTTTACTTTCAAAATCTCGTTAAATTTCATCGTTCTGTTACAAACTCTCGTGATATTTTGCAAATTCTTGTGGGATTTTGTTAGTAAAATAGATCGATACCGCGTCAATATATCAACATATAAAAATATGG